GCCCCCCCGGGGGGCCGGGGGCGCGGCCAGCCCGCGTCCAGGCCCGTGCTGCGCCCCAGCCCCGCGGCCGCCTCCGCCGGCGGCGCCCCCAGCGCGCCGCGCAGCTCCGCCCGCAGGGCGGCGTCCAGGGCCTTCGGGGGCGCGGCCCGGGTGGCAGCCCACGGGGGCCTCCCAGGCCACCTTGCTGCTCCTGCTCCTGCTCCTGCTGCTCCTGCTGCTCCTCCTGCTCCTCCTCCTCCTCCTCCTCCTCTTCTTCTTCTTCTTCTTATTATTATTATTCTTCTTCTTATTATTGTTATTATTATTATTATTATCATTATTCTTCTTCGTTCTCCTCCTGCTCCTGCTCCTGCTCCTCCTGCTCCTCCTGCTCCTCCTGCTCCTCCTGCTCCTCCTGCTCCTGCTCCTGCTCCTGCTCCTCCTCCTCCTCCTCCTCCTCCTCCTCCTCCTCCTCCTCCCCCTCCTCTCTCATTCGGGCGCGGTCCCATGGCAACTCACGGGGGCCTCACAGGTCATCTTGCGGGCTCGTTGCGAGTCGACGCCAGTCCGCGCCAGTCGACGCCAGATCGGCACTAAATCGGCGCTTTGCCACGGACTGCCGCCAGACGCTAATCGACGCCAGTGCGCTCGAAAAACGGGAGCAGGGTGTTGTTACCCCCCTTCGGCCAAGCGCAGAAGGGGCGTATGGGGGAGGGGGGAGGGGGGGAAGGCTTCTTGGAGGCACCCCCTGCTTCTTCGAAGGCGCGGGCTCCATCTCTAGATGCGAGGCCCGCGCCTTCTGAGAAGCAGCCTTCTTCTAACGAGAGGCCCCCGAAAAAACGACCAAGAGGCTCCCAAACGCCCCGGAGACGCCACCCACCAGGCACCATCTGCCATTCGCGTGGCCTCCGACCCCCAGCTCAGGCACGGTGGCGGGATGTGCCGAAGGTCATTCGATCAGCCGCCCCCTGTTGATTCATCACAAGGGTAACTGGCGTGCTGAACCTTCTCGGTTTTGGTTTTGGTTCTTTCCCATGGGGCTTCGGCCCGTCCCGCCGGGGTCCCGGAAGGATTGCCCAGGATCTTCCAAAACTGGCTCCCCCCAGGAGACCGCCCAGAAGCCCTGGGTATGGCAGGACGGAGCGGCACGCACGCGCGGCAGCCGAGCAGGTCACGCCAACCAACGCCCACACCTTCCACATTGGAACACTCGCACAGCGGCGATTACCAGTCTGGATCGGCTTCGCGGCGCCAACTCTGCCCGCCAGCAAACGGGGCAGAGCAAGTCTGTTTTGTCACGCTTGAAGCTGTGTGCCGCTTCTCGCATAAACATTGCCGAGCACCGCCCGCATTTTAAATACCGGCCTCCGAATGGGCCAGACGCCACAAGAGCGCCCCAAGACGCCCCCGAGAGGCCCCAAGAGGCCTCAAAGAAGCCAAGTGCAGAAGAGGCCACAAGAAGCCTCCAAGACACCTCAAGAGGCCACAAAGAAGCTCCCAAGAGGCACCGCAACGACTGGACTGTACGTGCTCCGGACGTGCACCCCGCGGAGCGAGAGGAATCATCATAACCCGAGGAACGTGCGCGGACGAGGGGGGGAGGCCAGGGGACGCGTGGAAAGAAGAAAAGGGCGCCATGACATCGAGGCCCCGGCTATGATATCCACACACCCCAGGTCACCGCCCCCCTCTTCAAAGACCCCCGATGTCGATTCTTGCTGCTCGTGACGTGGCCCCCCAAGGGTCTCTGCCCGTTCCCCGGGACCGGCCTCTGGCGTAATGGAAATGTGTTAGACGGTGCTGGGGCCCATGGAGGGCCCCGAGACCCGAAAACGATCAAGAACCTTCGACTGCGAGGTTGTTTCAAGACTTGGAGGCCTGAAAAAGAACACCAACACCAACACCAACACAGGCGGGGGCCTGCATATCAGGGAAAATCGATCCTGGATGTTACATTGGTGCTAGTGGTCATAAAAATCTTAGCCGTGTAGCGCACGGCGTGACGCAAAGTTTACTAAAAGCAAGTCTGGTTCTGGCCTGGCTGGTCTGGTTGGTCTGGTTGGTCTGGTTGGTGCTTCGCCGTGCAGCCTTAGCTTAGAATCCGGGCGAGAGTGGTTTAGGGGAGGTCCAGCGAGGCAGCGCAAACCACCACGACGACCGAAATGCAGTCTGTTGTTGAATTGCAGTTTTTGTTGCTTTGCAGATGTTTTTGCATTGCATTTCGTTTTGCCTCTGGTCTGGCTGGTCTGGTGGTTTGAGCTTCGTCTTGCAACCTTAGCTTAGGATCCGGGCGAGATTGGTTTAGGGGAGGTCCGGCGAGGCGGCGCAAACCACCACCACGACGACCGGAACGCCGTTTTTTTGCAATGCCGTGTGTTTTGCTTTGCAGTTCTTTTGGCATTGCAATTTTCTTGCATCTGGTCTGGCTGGTCTGGTTGGTCTGGTTTGAGCTCCGTCTTGCAGCCTTACATTAGGATCCGGGCGAGAGTGGTTTAGGAGAGGTCCGACGAGGCAGCGCCAACCACCACGACGACCAAAATGCAGCCTTTTTGCATTGCAGTTTTTTTTCTTTGCATATGTTTGCATTGCAATTTAGTTTGCATCTGGTCAGGCTGGTCTGATTGGTCTGGTTTGAGCTTCGTCTTGCAGCCTTAGCTTAGGATCCGGACGAGAGTGGCTTACGGGAGGTCCGGCGAGGCAGCGCAAACCACCACCACGACCGAAAGACAGTTTTTGTTGCATTGCAGTCTTTGCTGCTTTGCACGTTTTTTACATTGCAGTGTGTTGTTGCATATGGTCTTGCTGGTCTGATTGTTTGAGCTTCGTCTTGCAGCCTTCGCTTAGAATCCGGGCGAGATTGGTTTAGGGGAGGTCCGGCGAGGCAGCCCAAACCACCACCACGACGACCGGAGCGCCGTTGTTTTGCATTGCAGTTTGTTTTGCTTTGCATTTTTTGTTTTGCAATGTAGTTTTTGTTTGCATCTGGTCTGGCTGGTCTGGTTGGTCTGGTTTGAGCTCCGTCTTGCAGCCTTAGCTTAGGATCCAGGCGAGAGTGGTTTAGGGGAGGTCCGAAGAGGCAGCGCCAACCACCACGACGACCGACATACAGTTTTTGTGCACTGCATGTTTTGTTATTCGCATGTGTTTGTGTTGCAATTTTTCTTGCATCTGACTGGCTGGTCGGGTTGGTCTGGTTTGAGCTTCGTCTTGCAACCTCAGCTTAGGATGCGGGCGAGAGTGGTTTAGGGGAGGTCCGACGAGGCAGCGCCAACCACCACGACGACCGAAATGCACTTGTTTTGTTGCACTGAATTTTTTTGTTGCCTTGCATTTGTTTGCGTTGCTATTTTTGTTTGCACCTGGTCTGGCTGGTCTGATTGGTCTGGTTTGAGCTTCGTCTTGCAGCCTTAGCTTAGGATCCGGGCGAGGGTGGTCCGAACGGCTGGCTTGTCTGGTTGGTCTGATTACTCTCCCTGGCTGGTGTGGTTGGTCCACCTGGCTGCTCTGACTGGGCCGTCTGGCTAGCCCTTGGTCGTGGCCGTCGTCCTCGCCCTCGCCCTCGCCCTCGACTTCGTCGTTGTCGTCGTCGTCATCGTCCTGCCCCTTGCGTCGCCGCAGCCGGGGCTGGGACCCAAAGCCTTGCTGCGTCAAGTCCGGCTGCCGCGGAAAGGGAGGTGGGGAGCGAGGGAACATCAGCAGCCATCCTAGCTGCCCCGACACGCAACACGCAACACGTAGCGCATTGATACGGAGCTAAACACGTAGTCTGAAAACGCAGGTCCGACGCGATACATTCGCCAAAACGTGGCCCAATACGTGGAGCCAACACGCAACGTATTGACACGGACGTCTTGAACCCGGGACGTTTTGCGTATCAAAACGGGCGTATCGGGGCAGCTAAGGCAGCCATATTAGTTCTTATGCCCCAAAGCAAAGTAAGGCGCTGGGGCACAAGAGCTTTCCGCCTCGAGCGGCTTAGAATCCTTCGACCACCTAGGAGCCCGAATCTTACCACCATCGCCGGGAGCGGGATTGTCTTCCCTCGGTGGAGGCACACCGCCGATATTGGCATTGGTGTCAACGTCTGAGCCTCTGGAAGGCGCGAGGCGGCCTGGGGCCCCTTAGCCCCCCCCCCCCCTCCCCCACCTATGAACGCCGCCCCGGCGCATACAGTCGACCAGGATAGTAATGATGCGCGGAAAGGATGCAAGGGCATTGGAACGCCATGTTGACGTTTTCCGTGCGGAGCGCAGCAGAATGCCGAAGGATGCCGAATACCGAAGGGGCAAGGATGCAAGGGTAGCCTTGGAAAGTTGCCCCATCCTTACTATCATGGCTGACTGCACGGTGAGGGCATTGGATAAGGAACCCTCAGATAAGGCACCCAGGGTCTGGAAGCTGGTGGAACACCAATTGGGGCTTCACCATAGAAATCACCGCCGCCCTTACCAGGTAAGGAATCCTCCAGGGTCTGGAGCCTTCTAGGCGCCGCCATTAACCACCGCCCCCACCGTACAGTATGCCCAGGTACGCCCTGGCGCTGGTCTTCTGCAGCGCCAGAAACACTAACAGACCTTTTGACAAGCGGGCGGGCGGAGAGTCAGGCGCCCCGGTCTCGCAACGGAGGGGGCCTTCCAGAGGCGAACTGGGCGCGAAAAGGCGTGGGCACAGAGGAGGGGGTGGCAAAGAAGGAGCCGCGCCCAGAACATGAAGTACTTCGCGCGAGCGCCAGAGAGCGCCACAGCGAGCACGAAGGGCGGGCCCACGGCCAAACGGAGGGCACGTTTGGCGCACAACGAAGTGCAGGGCGAGGCACCAACACAAGCGAAAGAAGTGGAAGAGGAGTACGACGACGACCACCACCACGACGACGACGAGCTAGGCGAAGTCTGCCTCCCCGGAGCGAGCCTCGGGCGACGCCTCCGGGCCGCCGCTGGCTCCCTCGCTCCGCCGGTAGACCGGGTTGTCGAACAGGCTCTGCACCCGATTCACGGTGACCACGGCTACGACCTGGGCTTTTTAGCGCCGCCCCCCTCCAAGGGGCGCGAGGGAGAGAAAGAGAGAGAGAGAGAGAAAGAGTGATCGAGATCCGCAGATCGAGGGCTACAGTTTATGGGTCCTTTTCAGGGGCCCGCCAGGGAGCCTTTTCTCTGCAGCCCTCGCTGCCCCCGTGTATCGCCCACCCCATTGGTGACCGCTTGTTTGTCTTTCCTGGGTAACGGCCGCTACCCGGGAGGGGGAATTCAGGCGGGAAGGTGATGGTAACGGCGGCCGCGGCGTGCGCCCGCCAGGACGGGTCCACGTCACCGGCGCATCAATCGCCTGTGTGCACCACACTCTCTGTGCACACGGAAATGCCCAATGCCTGCGTGCAACACAGCGCCACCTGTGGTCACACCACAGTGCCTCCGTACACCACAGCAGCCGCGTGCACTGCAGCACCACGTCGCCTTTCCACACCGTAGTGCCTGTGTATACTGCAGCAACTGTTTGCGTAACAGCGTCCGTATACACCGCATTGCCTGCGTACGCCAGAACGCCAGCGGAGTGAAACTGGATCACCTCAGGATTCCACATACAAAAATATGTTATACAATGTTGCGCCCTTGGATGCTAAAGACAAACATTGTTTACAATAGGACTATTAAAGGAATCCCTATGAGAAATGGAGCGCCTCTGGATGTCACAGATTTGCAGATTGAGTTTCAAAAAGGATCGCTGCGAACAGCGGAGCGACTCTGGATTTCACAGAAAACCTTCACTGGATAAAATAATCCCGTTAAAAAGTAGGGCGCTCCTGAATTACACGGAAGCAAATGTGCTATGTGCATGTGTTACAAGAGGCTCTATGGAAAGTGGAGCGCCTGAAGATTCTACACGCGTGCACCACAACGCCTGCGTACACCACAACGCATGTATACACCACAGCAGCCGCGTGCAACACAGCGTCGGTGTACACCACCGTTCCTGCGTGCACCACAGCGCTTGCGTACACCACAGCACAGCGCCTGTGTACACCGCAGCAGCCGTGTGCAACAAAAAGCGCCTGTGTGCACCACGCTGCCTGCGTGAACCGCAGCGCCCGCGCATACCACAGCGCCTGCGGGAGAAGGCGCGGTGCAACCCAGTCTCTATCTTCTCCATGACGCTGGGTCTACAATCGTTATGTGCAGCAAGGACAGGTGGTAAGGACAAAAAACCATTGGAAACCAAAGTTGGGATTTGTTGGCAAAAGCTGCCCAATGAAAACGGCAAAGGACAGGCCGCAGAGGCAAGGACACAAGGGTACCCTGGAGAAGGCGGCGCGTCCTTATTGGGCTCGCCGGCTATATCGAACTGCAACCGAACACCGGCCAGAAGGCAGACTGGTCGAACCAGGCTGCGGTAGCTGAGCCATCGACGACGACGACGACGACCCCCTGGCAAGTGGAAGAGAGCCCCCACATTCTGCATTTGCCGCCCGACCGGCCTGCCGCACCTCCGAGAGTGGGCACCTGCCGCCCAACCGACCTGCCGGCCGACCGACCTGCAGCCTGACCTGTGCGCACCGCAGTAGCCTGCAAGCACCACTGCGCGCATGAGCACCCAAGCATTCCTTTCAGCACCACGCCATGCCTGTGAGCTTGGTGCCGCAACAGGTGTGGAGCATGGCATGCGAGCGCCACAACACACTTGTGAGCACCAACGCGTGCCGTTCAGACCACGCCTAACCTGTGAGCACAGCGCCATAACTGCGGTGGGCCCGCTCCTAACATGTGGGGGCTGCCCGGCCCCCCCCCCCAACGCTATCGTTAGCGTTACCTGGGGGGGGGGCGGGCGGGTAACGAGCGTTACGCTGGGGAGGAAAACAAACGCTCACTTACCCGACGCCCAGACACAGCTGGCGTCGAGGCTGCCGGGGTCTCCGTCGGCTTCTGGGCCGTGGTGGGGTCCTCCCTCAGCGATGGCTTCGGTCTCATCTTCGGTGCCGTGCGCGCGCGGTCGAGGGGCCCAGAAGTCGCGCTGCTGCTTGAGGGTTCGAGGAGAAGGGAGGGGCCATCTGCGACCAACCGCGGGCGCGATCTACGCGATCTCTACCATCAGCCCACCCCCCAGAAATGCTCGCGTCGTGGAAAAAGAAAACACGACAAAAGGTTTTTGGCAGCGGGGGCCCTCGCTGGGCCGCGGGACTGTCAACAAAGACGGCTCGGGATGAAAAAGCGGTCGCATATCTGGGCCCAATCCTTTTCCTCGCGACGTGGGATTCTGTGGATCTTGACCATTTCCCTTGCGCCAGCTTCTGGTCCCGAGTCGCTTTTGACGACCCTGGAGCTGGGAAACATTCTCCAGAGGCCGCGAACCTGGGGTCACGCCCGGATCTTCGAGTTTGCGTATTTGTGTGGCGTGGCCCAGGGACGCGCAAATACATAGACAAAACTCATGAGATTCACCATCTGTCGCATATTCTGTGGATGCTCGTCTCCCTCTCCACTTTCAATATATATATATATATATATATATATATATATATATATTCATATCTATATATATATATACACACATATATATATATAGATTGGGGGGGGATCGACGAGAATCTTGGTCTATGGCATTTTCCCCTCCAGATACCTCGTGGGCCGGGCGCAGGACACAGGGCGTGACAGGGGGAGACCACTCTCTTGTGCCTCCCTCCAGCCCAGTGCTGGGCGCAAGGGCGGCCTGGCGCGAAGCGGAGGGGCCTCTCCGGGCGCGAGGCGCTCCCGCGGTGGCCGGTGAGCCGCGCGAGGGCGAGCCCGAGGCTATGGGGCCAGAGTGGGGCGCCCTGGGGCCACCGCCGCCGAGACAGCGAGGAGGCGGGGGGCCGAAGAGGAGGGAGGAGGGGGAGGAGGGGGAGGAGGGGGGGGAGGGGGGGGGGGGGCGGAGGAGGAAGGAGGAGGAGGAGGAGGAGGAGAGGAGGAGGAGGAGGAGGAGGAGGAGGAGGAGGAGGGAGGAGGAGGAGGAGGAGGAGGAGGAGGAGGAGGAGGAGGAGGAGGGGGAGGAGGAGGAGGAGGAGGAGAGGAGGAGAGGAGGAGGAGGAGGAGGAGCCGTCTCCACAGAGGAGCGGCAGGCCCAGGGGGGGCCGACGAGCGAGAGCGAGGGGCGGGAGGAGGGTCGAGGGAGCGACGGCGAGGAGGACGCGTCCTCGAGATCGCTGTCGCGGTCGTTGGAGCTCCCACGTGCAGATGACATGCGGAAGGGGGGGGGGGTGCTGCTCAGGGCACTCGCCCCGCTGCTGGAGCCATAAGTGGGACGGTGCCATGCCTGCCCATTGCCCCAGGAATCGGCACAACGCGCCCCCCACACGGGCGTGCAAGACCAGACCAGAGCCGCAGGAGGGGGAGGAAGAGGAGGAGGAAGAGGAGGACGAGGACGAGAAGAATAGGAGGACGAGGACGCGGAGAGCGCAGGAAGAGGAGACGGAGGAGGAAGGAGGGGGGCGACACGGAAAAGGACAGAAACGATGACGGAGAGAAGCAGGAGGCGGAGGAGGGCAAGGATGTGGCAGTCGGGGGCGGGCGAGCGATTGCATCCAGCAGCGCGCCACCGCTCTGCTCGAAGCGCACGCCCCCCGAGGCGATCGAGAGGCGGAATCGGCAAGGGCTCGTCCCTCTTCCTGCTCCTCCTCCTGCACCTCCTCCTGCTTCCTCCTCCCCCTCTTTAAAACAAGGCTAGGATCGGGATAAATCGCTCCAGAGCGTTCCGGAGCGCTCTCAGAGCGTTCCGGAACGCTCTGGAGCGGCCGCGGCGCCCAATACATCCTCCAAACCCGCCGATTCTCAGAAATTTCGAGTTATCCCGATCCGATTCTGTCCCGGTCTTCGCGTCGTTTTACTCTGCTGTCCTCTCCGGCTCCTCGAGGCGACTCCCCGCTCGGAGCGCCCGGCCGGCCCGGCCCCGCGGCGCGGCCGCGCTTTCGCGCGTACTCCAAATTCCTTATTAATCGACCCACCCCTAAAAATCCGGACCCCCCTCCAAATGCGACCTAGTATTCTGGACCCCCTGTTTCGACGGGGCGACTCAATAAACCGGACCCCCTAAGCTCCATTCCACAGAAAACACCCCAATAAACTGGACCCCCCAAATTACAAAAAGGACGCCTTAAAACACAGATCCGGGGGACGATTAATAAGGGATTTGGAGTAGCGGGAGGCGCCGCGCCGTGAGCCCCCCAGGGAGGGGTTGTCCGACGGCACCCTAGCACGAAGCTAGTGGCGCGCCGCTCGGACAGGACCCCCGGCAGCCCCGCCTTTGTGGGCTGCTTGGATCGCCGCGGGGGGGGCTGAGCGGATAGGGGGACACAGGTGGATGCTAAGGTGGGTTCTATCTAGCCTGACCTAGCTGAGAAGTGGGTTGCACGTGCTCTACGTGGCTTACGGGCGTACAGATCTGGGCAAAGTGGGCGGCGCCCACTTAGCACCATCTAAGCCACATCGAGCACTTGTAACCCACGTATAAGTTGGGTTAGGCCAGATCGAACCCACCTCCGCATCCACTTCCCCGCATCCCCACAGCAACCGCCGCGGCGATCCGAGTGGGTTGCTGCCGGCGGGCACCATTGGCCCGGGGAGCGCGCCAGCGCCGGGCCACGACGGGGCCGGGCCCGGCCGACCGGGCCCGGCCCCAGGGCTCAAGGGCGGCCCGCAGGGGCGAGGACCGCGGGGACAAGCCGGGAAGCCGACTGGGCCAGGGCGGGCCGGGCAGAGGGCGGCCTGCATGCAGGGGGGTGCCAGGGTCGAGGCCCCGGTGCCAGCGGGGCAGGGGCCGGACGGGCAAGAACGAAGCGCGGGGCCCAGGGAGAGACGGGACCCACTTGGGTCCAGAGCGCAGTGGGGGGGCCGCCGCGGCAGCCGCGCCCCCCGCGCAGGCCGGTCTCACGCAGGTGCGGCCCTGCCGGCGCGTCGGCCTCGCCCTGGCCCGGGCCCCTGCGGCCCTCCTCCGCTCGCTGCCGCCGCTGCGGCGCCTGCCGGGAGGCGCGCGCCGCCCCCCGGGGCGTGAGGCCCGC